GGGGAATAACTACCACCAGCTGCCCAGCCACTCAACCAGGCCCAGCCAAGTTGACACACAAACATAACTACCACACCATGCTAACCATGAAATTATCTCTTCTCAACTTCTGAAGGAAGACTGAAGGTCTCTGGTATATATGCTTTCTCTAGAGGTTGACCAATACCCATTGCCATTGAGTAGATTCTGACTCATAGCGACTCTACAGAACAGAGTAGAACTGTTTCATAGGGTTTCCAATGCTTTATGGTAGCCGATGGCTCCATCTTTCTCCTATCGATGAGCTGGTGGGTTTGAACTACTAACTTTTTTATTAGAAGTTGAGTGCTTAATCACTGAGACACCAAGTCTCCTTTTTCTGGAGGTTAGCATACAGCAAATCAATCTGCTTCCAGAAAACCACCTGGGGTGGAGAAAGGAAGAGCATATCAAGTTTAGTAAATGTCAATGACTAAGTTTTCAGATGCCAGTGTTGTGAAGTTAAGAATAATTGTATCATTTTTTTGGTTACTGATTAGCAAACATAAAGCCATGAATCACCATCTTAAGATCTGAAGTTCTGTTCACCATGAAAGTAGAACACTGTGATCCGTCTTTACTTTAGCCTAGTGGTCACAAAGTACAAAAATGTCATCTTTAGAAATTCTGAGTCCCAGGAGAGTCTAACATTATCTTTTCATGTACAGTAGGATATCTGTACCATTTATTTTATTATTTTTGTCTATCTGTATACATGAGGAGCTCTGGTAGCATAGTGCCTAAGGCATTTGACTGCTAACCAAAAGGCTGGAGGTTCACCCACCAGCCAGCCACTCCTTGGAAGAAAGATTGGGCAATCTATTTCTGTAGTGATACTGCCTCGGAAACCCAAGGAGGGGTCACTATGAGTTGGATCTGACTCGATGGCAGTGAGTTTGAGTTATCTGTATACATAAGCTCCTGCAGGGCAGAAAATGTGTCTTTTCCAAATTTTTATATGGAAGTTGAAAACTCAATAAATGATAGTTGAATGAAAGAATAAATGAAGAAATATAACCTGTTTTACTCCACTAGCAAAGTTCAAATGACAACTGTCCAATACAACTATGAATTAGAACATTATGGCTGGCTTGCAAGACAAGCAGAGAATTATATGGTGGTTATGTAAAAATGGGCATTTATCCATGGTCTAAATTTTTGAGACTGGATAGCTTATGACTACATTAAGCAAACAATTAATCAATTTCCCTTTGTTCTGAAGAAAAAGCTTTAAAGGTAAAAGATTATACATGCCATCTAATACATTTTACTAAGAAAATTTGTTAGTAAAAAGGGAATGTTATATTAATGACAGAAAATAAGTGTTATGCTCAAAAATGAACAGCTTACAATGAGAGACAAAGAGGACATTAGTAAAACCCAGATGATCTGACACTTGTACTTGTACATCTTACACATTGACCTGATATGCTGACAGTTACGGTGCCCATTCATATATTTATTACAGCATAAAGAAAGAATTTTTATCAGGGCAAAGTCTCATATGATGTGAAAAAAAAATGACCTCAGCATGTTCACTATGCACAAATGCTTAAACATTATTGACTTAATGGAAATTAATAGTATACCAAGAGCTAGTATTAAATGAGGAGCTCTGGTGGCTTAGTGCCTAAGGCATTTGATTGCTAACCAGAAGGCTGACGGTTCAAACCCACCAGCCACTCCTCGGAAGGAGGATTGGGCAATCTACTTCCACAGTGATACCGCCTCAGAAACCCAAGGAGGGGTTGCTATGAGTTGAATCTACTCAACGGCAAGTATTAAATACAGAATAAAGAACAACTGCTGCTTAGACCCAGGAAGGAAGTCACCAGTTATGTTTGATTCCCCTTTACAATTACTTAAAGTAATCAGTGCCTAGATATCTGTGGCACTGATTTTGAGAAGTTTGCTTTCTTTTGCAGATGTGAAGACAATGATTTTATAGCCCCAAATGAGAATTAAAGAAGTACCTGTAGAATTGCAACTTCATTACGAAGCTGGCTTTCTTGTTTTGTTGGAAATCTTAGTTTGTCAATGATTTTAATAGCTACATCTCTTCCTGTTTTACGATGTTTTCCTTTAAAACAAAAAACGAGATATCAGCACAATGTTATTAAATATCATTTTTATTAAAGGGAAAACAAAATTGACATGGGCATTCGTGAGAATTATAAAGATGTTTCACTGAATAAATTAACATCCATGAGGAGCACTGACTCATATCCACCAAGATTTTACTTCTTAGCTCCATTATTCTAAGTCAAATATACGTGGGTTAAGATTTGCCACAATTTACAACACAACAGAAGTAGGTGATTGAAAGCTATAGGATATCAAATATGCCAAAAGAAAATGAAACTGACTTGTCTATTAATTACAACTTCCTTGTTGTTTGAACATTTTGTTTCAAAAAATTGCTTTAGCAATGTGTATAGAGATTGTCAATATCTAAGTATAACAAGTGTTTCATGAGCAGAAAAATTTTCTATCAAAGCAGAAATATGCCCAGTTTTCTAAATAGTGAATATTATAAGAGAAACTTCAATGAAGGTAGGTAAAATAGACAGGGAGGCACACATATACAAACATGTACACATAGGTTTTGTCCTTTATGTTTTTCCTAGAAATGTTATCCTTCTATGCATAAGAAGTTAAAAATTCATATTATGTAAAAAAATTTTAGTTAATTGACCTACCTCCATAAACAATTCCAAACTGCCCAGAACCCAGTACTTCATCTGGAAAGATCTGATATACGGTGCTAATGTCCTAGAGGTGCAAGTCCAATGAAAAACAAACATGAGGTAGAATAAAATCTTAGTCCTCATAAATGATAATTTTCTTAATATATTGGTATTACTACTGTTGTAAACAACAGAAATAACTGAATTATAAGTGCTGGATGAAATTTGTGACTTCAAAATTCAAAGCACATTCTTCTTTAATGCAATATTGTAATGTCTTGAAATCTTTTCTGATCTTATGTGATAGAGATTTTCTAATGGGCCCTCAAATGTATTTCAATGCAGAGAAGTAAGACTTAAAATTATACACCATTTACAATACGTATTCAAAGAAGGATTTTTTTATTTGGACGGTGATTTAGAAATTTTAGGTTAAATAATCATGGCTCCTAACCACATGTCTGTGTTCCAGTCACTTTCACCTTCATGGGTAGCATGGTTAGCCTGCTTCCCTTAATCACTCACCCACATCCATATGAACCTAAAGGAAAAGGAGGCTGAATCACTGTGAGTGAACTGGAGACACCAAAATATGGATGGCAATCCATTATGAAATTCTCATTCGTGAAGCAGCTAAACTCTTCCATTTTTTTTTCCACTTCTGGAAATTCCATATATTACTCTTTTCTCTTTAAGATAATAACTGGTGAATAAAGTAGTATGTTTTCATCTAGAATTGATAGTCCTTTTAATGACCAAGTTTATGAAAACACATTACTTTTTGAAATTAGTGTTCCAGTAATATCCTATCCTTTGCTTATCATTCATCTGTAGATATGTATACCCATGCTTTGTAGATATGTATTCCATGCTTTGTCTTTGCCCTTGCAAAAAAAAAAAAAAGTAATTTTTACTTAGAATGAGAAGTCCATCCTTTGCCTAGCATATTCACTCCTACCCTTCGCATTGCCCTTCCTCCTAAAAAGACAACTGCAAGTTGTGCGTATCCTGTATTTCTTCCAGAGTATTCTTTGGGTGAGTTTAGTGTTGTCTGCAGACAAAGCAATGGATTACAAACTCCTCCGATATTCTGAGTTCAAGCTACTCCCTTTATAACAAAAACCCATATTGGGCTTTCTCTGATAATTCAAAGATAGACCAGAATATTCAGCGGACACTTGTGGACATCAAAGAAGGTGGAATAACCGCACAGTTATCCAGAATTTCCCAAGAGGTCTATAGAGTTACCTCTACTTCCCAACACTTTTTTCAAGCTAAGCAAGAGCGATAAGTATTTGCAGCTGTTTAGAAACATATCTCACAGTAGACAGCACAAAAATTCATCTAATCATTTCTATGAAATTTACCTAATTCTCTCTAATTCATTGTTGGCTCCCCCTGTCTCCTCTTAATGCCAATCTTGCAACAGTTGTAAAACTATACTTGTACTGAGCTGAAGTCTTCATGGAGTTTTACTATAAGTCAGGGCTGACTCGACAGCACATAACAACAACAACAACAGCAATGCTTGAAAAAATAAACTCACATCATTGTTAAGTGAAGCTGTAAACTGCTTTCTTTCTTTTGGTCTTAAGTATTGAAGGCAACACAGATGGTAAGTCTGGGTCATAAGGAGTGGTGGAAAAGGCCTAAATACTTATTGGTAACTTGCTATAGTGACAAAGTGTAACAAACAAACGACATTCTGCAAACATTTCATAATATGTCTGATCTCTAATTCTCCAAAACTGAGCTCAAAGGATATACTTACTGTGGGATAGGTGGCTAGGGGCTATAATTAGGGCCTATAAAATCTGATTTATTCATCCTGAGGTTGTCTTGATATGTTTAAATGGTATGTTGAAACTCCTTGTTATATGACAGCACTCTTTGGTAACAATCAACTAACAAAAACAACTGCATGTTGGAGCTACTCATGCTGATCAAGGATTTATTTTATTTTATTTGGTATTGTATAACATCATGTAAAATCCTAATACCAAGCTGGGCAAACATATGAAAAATCAGGCACTGCATTATAATCCCCTAGCTGAGATGAATAATATTTGTCTTGACTTTACAGAACAGAATATTGCAAAATCACTTAAAGAATCCATATCATGTAACGTTTCTAAAATCTTACGGGAGGATAATACCCAAATAGAGGCTATTTATTTTCTGGAAAATACTGAAAAATTATGTTATGTACATAAAAACGTAGTTTATGATGCTTTAATTTCATAAAGAGTTCTAAATTTTATATTAGTAGATATACACTCACCACATTTTCTTGAATCTGGCAGTTCGATACCGAAATACTCACAGAAATATCTCCTGGAAGTACATGTCAAAAAAGTACAAACATACACAGAGAAATAGTCAGTAAGAATGGTAACATGAAGATAAGTAAACCAATCATGTTGCAGGGCTGTTTTTAAACAAATCATAGAAATTAGGTTTTTCTAGGAAAACATCTATTAGAATATTTCTTTCTTTTTAAAATTAAGACTATGTAGTTAGTTTTGAAAAATACTTTATCAATTTAATATAATGTTTGGTGTTACAAAGGTTTAAGTTCAAATATCGCCTCAGTCACTTCTAGTTCTGATATGTGCTTAGACAATTTAATCTCAGTTTAATTTCCTCAGCTGTACGACAGGAAAATCATTAACATATACCTATTAACCTTATTTTGGGGTTAAAATAGATATTTCCTGTAAAGTTCTTAGCACCAAAATAGACATATATTGCATTAGTAAGTATGTCCTTTTTAGAAATAATAAAAACAGCAATAGTAGATCAACAGATAGAAGTCTCCAATATAGAAAACAATGGTTAATTCACAGACTCCATTATGAAATTTAAAATCACATTGTTATACAGCTATCCCTCTAATATATATCTTTTTTTAACACTCATTTTTATACTTGGTTCTGGTTGTATTTTGGCAAAATCTGCCTTATGCTACCAATGAACACACATTCCCTGCCCCCGGGGTAAAATTATCGAGAGTTAAAGTACTCTATACACTTAAGTACTGTGCACACAGTACCATGGTAGGTATTTTTGGCAAAATATATTGGTTCAAATATGAAAATAAACTAACCTAGACTAACTCTAGGTTAGCCTTAAGCTGATTAGATTCTGTTTCTATTTTATAACCACTAGTTCTAGGATTCTGACATTTCCTAACATGCAGAGTTTATCAGGTTGTTAAAATTTTAATAAAAGATTAAAAAGAAAATAAAACAGGATTATTTGATGAATGCAATTTCTTATTATGTGATGCAGCTTTTATTTAGAAATTCTAAAGTAAAGTAGTGAGCTCTGGTGGCATAGTGCCTAAGGCATTTTACTGCTAACCAGAAGGCTGGTGGTTCAAAACCCCCAGCCACTCCTCAGAAGGAAGGTTGGACAATCTATTTCCATCTGAAAATAAATTTCCATAGAGATACCACCTCGGAAACCCAAGGAGGGGTTGCTATGAGTTGCAATTGACTCGATGGCAGTGAGTGATGATGATGAAAGTAAAGTAAATGAAATCATTCCCAAGGAGGTGTTCTTCATTCTATTCCTGGGAAAGGCAGGATATATATTTACCAAATTAGGGGTAGGAAGCTGAGTGAGCTTCTTGCTATGGTTAGAAAACTGGCAAACTCACTGTGTGAGTTGGTTCCTGAGCCCACAGAGGGTCCCTTGGGGATGACGGGCATCAAGGCACGCTGGATGGCCATCTCCCACATCTTGGCCACATCTGCACCAACGCCACTGGTGAGGACACTGTTATTTGGTGGTGGGCTGGAAGGATTGACCACATTTTCTCCTACATAATATATGACATTTGCTGTCGTGATTTCAAAACAATGAGGATTGGCCCCATTAGGAATTGAAGTCGAAGTTTTTGCTGGTTCCAAAGATAAAATTTCTGACAAAGGAATTTCCTATGGAAAAAAAATTTGTTAAATTTAGTTTAGCAAAAATGAGTAAACTTTCAAATAAAATTCATCTCTGGAACATGTAAGATATGACATTAACAATAGCTATGATAATTTATAGAGAATGGGTTTATAACACACAATTTTACTTACAAAATTAAAAATTGTTTCACTCAGTGAAATTTTTCCATATCTTTTTTCTAGAAAAGGTAAGTGACGTTTTTATTATCTTCACAAGACAGGAGTAAATATGATTAAGAATAATAAATTTGAATCTTGATCAAAGTCCAATTTAGAATATAAATGATGATTTGTATAACTGCATAGAATAACACTTTGAAATGCATTGGGTATATATTGCTGTTTTAAAATTTTAACTACTTTTTTAAGGCACTGAAAATCAATCCTATAACTTGAATATACACAAGTTAAAATCATAATTTAGCTAGCTAAATATTTTTAATGAGGAATGCCACAGAGATTGGTTTTAAAATGAGTTGTTTTTCAATTAGTTTAAGGGAATAGTGGACTGTGTGAACGTCAGCCTCCACTACCCTGAGACCAGAACTAATTGGTATTCAGCTATCACTGCCAACCATTCTGAAAGGGATCACATTGTGAGATACTGGAGAAAGTGGGAGAAAAATATGGAGCAAAATTCAAAATAATAAAAAAGACCAGCCTTATTGGTCTAATAGAGACTGGTGGAACCACCAAACTATGGCCCTTAGTCACTCTACAGGCCTGAAATTGAACTTACTCCCAGGGCTCAACTTTTAGCCAAATGAGAGACAGGGAGGTACATCCTGTTTAGAACAATTACCACCAGAGATCAAAAGGGCAGCATTTGCTCAGTGATAAAGCCAGAAGGTAGGGATGAATAGGAAAGGAGGACAAAGGGAAATGGTAAGCACAAGGAGGAAGTGGTTACATTATGGGGATTGCAATCAATATCATGAAACAAAAGAAAATGTGTAATGAACTGCTGAATGGAAAACCAATTTGCTCTGTAAACTTTCACCCAAATCACAATAAAAAGTTCAAAATAAAACATATTTACTGATAGAAAAAATATACACCAAATTTATTCTGAAATAAATGAGGGATACCATAACACATATAAAAAATAAAATAAAATTAGCTGTTTTTAAAATGATTTTGAAATTTAAAAATAAAAAGTAATTGGCACATTGCCCTACAATTAAGTATAGAATGCTTTAGAAATAATTTTGTAAATAAAAATACTAATTTTAAAATTAATGAGTTTCCAACATTTGTTAGAGCTGTGTAAAGCGACCATGAGGAATTAGATTCCCTACATCTGAGTCTGATTAATTTTGAAAAAAAGCAAGTGTCTACTGTTTTCACTATGTATTTCTTTAAGCTTGGTGTTTTACTCTTCATTATGCCACATGATATTTAATGTAGAAAGAAAGAATGAAAACTGCTGCCAAATTTTTCTCTAGATGGAACTGTTCCTCATGAACATTATTGTTGGCATGCATGAAAAAATTATAAAATGTTTCTTAGCACCAGAAATGTGCTTCAGAGCCAAAGATACAAGGAAAAGTGAGATATAGTGGATCTAAGATTTTGTTTTTAGCTAATCTTTTGTGACCTTAAATTTCTAGTGGGATCACACATTCCTTGCTAACATGCTCAATTAAGCTTCCTTTTGCTACCATCATTCCACGTGGCCAGAAGTAATTTTGAGGAGAATGTGAAATCACAGATGAATAATGAGGTTATAACTTGATTCCCCAGAAATTTGTGAACTACACAGAAGAAAAAATATGTCCTGGAGAAAATGTAAAAAAATCATGTCTCTTGCTATGTATTTTGTGTTACTGTTTCCATATTACCATGCAAAAGCAAAAGGGGTATGAGAGCCCAATCAAGAGACATTTTTACCTTGTAGTACCTGCTTCCTGTATCATTTTGAAAGAGGGTAATACATTTGCTATCCAATCTCCAATAATGCCGTTTCCTCTGAAATACAAATTAGAGTTAGAATCATTTAAAAACTTTAAAAAATGTACAAGATTAATAAAAGCAAACATTTTTCCAATAGTGACATAGCATTTAATATGGAAGGTTAATGGGCTTTGGATCAGGCAGACCCACACTTAATTTTAGATTCTGAAATTTGACTGTTTAGCAAGTGTTCTGAGAGAGGTGTATGTGTCTACATCACAAAGTTATGAGTAATGAAGGAGATGATGTGTTAGTTAGCATCTAATTCAGTGCGTGGCACTTAGTATGTGCATAGTAAGTAACACCATTAAACACTATTTATAAAATTATTTGGCTGCTTGAAGGGCTAAAGGAGGATTTGTGGCCTGTGATGAAATAAAAAGTCTTAGTAAGACATTTAATGTTTATATATGCTCATTTTTTAGATCATAAGTAATACCATGCAGATCCAGCAAGATATTTTGGCTTCCATCAGAGATGGAAGAATTATTAATGTTGAAACAAAGTTAGGTAATTTTTTTTTGGAGGGTAGGGTTGATGCTACGTCATCAACAATGTCTTCTCTTAAGCTCACTATAGATCTATCTTCTATGATTTATTAATCAGGTCTTTATTTACTCCAGGTCTCTTTCATTATTTTAAAGTGAGTTTTTGTGTGTCTGTCTGTGTTCATCTTTTAAGACCAAAATACCCCAACATCATTCCTTGTCCTTTCTATAACCATTTTTAGGCCTGCTAAATACATTAAATGCACTTTAAATATTTTATTCCATGTCTAGTTAGAACTAGATAGTGCTCAGCTGGGTCCTACAATAAGTCATGTAGCTATCAAATATAGAAGGTTGAGACTATAGATAGAATAATTGTTTTAGATATCTACAAGCTGTCCCCAGGTTACAAACATTCAACTTACAACTTGTACTTGCACTTGCCTTTTAATGTTATGTAAGTTTAGCCCTCACTTTGAAATGATCAACTCAATTCCTGTTGCTATTCAGTCCCACTGAGTTATACTGACTCACAGCGACCCATATAAAACAGAACCAATCACTGCCTGTCCTGTGCCATCTCACACTTGTTGCTATGCTTGAGCTGATCGTTGCAGCCACTGGGATAATCCATCTTGTTGAGAGGCTTCCCTTTTTTTGTTGGCTCTCTACTTTACCCAGTATGGTATCCTTCTCCAGGGACTGGTCTCTTCTGACAACATGTCCAAAGTATGAGACATGAAGTCTGACCACTCTTCCTTCTAAGGAACATTCTGGCTAGACTTCCTCCAAGATATATTTGTTCATTCTGCTGGCAGTCCATGGTATTTTCAACATTCTTCACTAACCCCATCAGTAAGAACTGAATTCATCAATTCTTCTGCAGTTTTCCTTATTCATTACCCATCTCTCACATGCATATGAGGCTACTGAAAATACTGTCGCATTGGCCAAGTGCACCTTAGTCTTCAAAGTGACATCTTTGCTCTTAAATACTTTATTGAGTTTTTTTTTGCAGCAGATTTGCCCAACCCAGTATGTTGTTTGATTACTTGACTGCTGCTTCCATAGGCATTGGTTGGGGATCCAAGTAAAATGAAATCCTTGACAACTTCAATCTTTTCTCCATTTATCAAGATGTTGCCTATTGTTCCAGTTGTGAGGATTTTAGTTTTATTTATAGTGAAGTGTAAGTCATACTGAAGGCTGTAGTCTTTGATCGTCATTAGTAAGTGCTTCAAGTCTTTGCTTTCAGCAAGTAAGACCTACTCACAAGTTTTTCATCATGATCATCTTCACTTGCTGCACAAACAGCTTTTAAATCAATGAAAAGTCTTGAGCCTTTTCTTGTGCTAAAATAAGGCTGAATAAGAACTGTATGCATCTGTTTTAACTCGTCCACAAATTCGACTTAAAGACACAACTAGGAACAGATCTCATTGAAACCCGGGGACTACTTATATTAATCTAAAGAGACAGATAGGAGATCATGAGGGAAACACTATCAACCAAACCAATCATACTGTCATTGAGTCAATTCTCATAGTGACCTTATAAGATAAAGAACTGCCCTATTTAAAAAAAAAAAAAAAAAAAAAAACACCTCCCTGCATCAAGATGATTCCAACTCACAGTGACCCCTTTTTAGGTTTCTGTGGCATTATCTCTACAGAAGTAGATTGCCCAGTCTTCCTTCTGAGGAATGGCTGCTGGGTTTGGACTGCTAACCCAGTCAAATGACTTAGGTACTATGCAACCAGAGCTTGCCCACTACACCACCAGAGCTCCCTAGAAGGCTTTCTAATTGTAAATCTTTACAGAAGCAGATAGCCTCATCTTTTTCCCATGGAGCTGCTGGTGTGTTCAAACCACCAACCATTCAGTTTGCAGCCAAATGTTTAAATCCGAATGCCTCCAGAGCGCCTGAAGCACTACTAAACCCACTGCCATCGAGTCAGTCCCAACTCATAGTGACCCCTCCTTGGGTTTCCAAGGTGGTATCACTACAGAAGTAGATTGCCCAATCTTCCTTCTGAGGAGTGGCTGGTGGGTTTGAACCTTTAGCCTTCTGGTTAGCAGTCAAGTGCCTTAGGCACTATGCTACCAAAGCGCCTGTTGTTGTTGTTGTTGTTATGTGCCGTTGAGTTGGACCCGACTCATAGCGACCCCTCCTTGGGCTTCTGAGGCAATATCACTACAGAAGTAGATTGCCCCATCTTCTTCCCAAGGAGTGGCTGGTGGGTTTGAACCACCACCCTTCTGGTTAGCAGTCAAGTGCCTTAGGCACTATGCTACCAGGAGCTCCTACTAGTGACTAACAAATGAACTTATCATTAATTGTTATTTAATTTAACCTTTAAGAGGGATCAAATTTTCTCTCACACACATGCTCAGCCTCAATCATCAACTATTAGGAAAGCATCAAGTAATGAAGAGACTCAGATTAGATGAAAAAATTTAAATGTGTTGTGTTTTATCTAATAAAGTATAGGGTTACTACATTCTTTTCATTTTTCTTTTAACACCAGAACTGTTTTAGGATTATTACATTCTTGAATGGGTTAGTTTATATGTGCACATGTAATAAATGTTTGAAAAACATATAAATTTATCAGTGTTTTTTGCCTCCCTAAAATGTAGTATTTAATTTAAAATTAATAGTTAACTTAAAAATATTAAAATTAGTTAATTTAATATTACAAAGGAGCATTCTCAAAGTACAAACTGTGCCTTTCATGAATTGCTCTAAAGTGAAAGGTAGGCATTTACATTGTGTAGTGATCATCTTAAGTAATAAAGGCAAACAATTTTTTTCCCTGAAATTGCATTTTTTTTTTTTTTTCACTCATCTGCTTGCTCAACTACTTCTGACCCCAGACTGTTTATGTGCTCACCCTGGTCTTATCTCATGGCTGGACTCCAATCTGCTCCCAGAAACTCTGATATCTCACAGGTCTCAGTGTGCATTAGCAACTCCTGCAACTAAACTAGCAGTAGAACAGTGCTCATTGGGGAACTTACCAGTGCATCCCTGCTGGTGTAGTGGACCATCCATCCTTCTTTCATCACTGTGCTGCTTTTCCTCTTCGTATGTTTGACAGACTGCACTACTCTCATGAGTGGGATATTGTTGCTTGTTGATGGACTTGAAAAGTCAAAACATTTAAGGAAAGAAATGTTTTTAGGTACAGATTGTCTTCTTTACATGCATAAGACCTATTTCAGCCTTTTAAAATGATAGCCAAAAGAAATTCACATCCCATTTTTAGTGAAATGTAAAATGGTTTTATAAATACCATAGTTTGGAATCTACAGTATTTGAAAATTTAATTAATTTAAAATTACAAAGGAGCATTCTGAAAGCACATACTGTAGCTTTCACAATTTCTCTAAAGTGGCAGGTAGATATTCATATTGTTTGGTTATCAACTTAAATTATAGAGGCAAATAATCTTGTCTCCCTGAAAGTGCAACTTTTTTCTTGCTTGCTCAACTACACTTGATCCCCAGACTGGTTACACGCTTACTCCGATCCTATCTGACGGGTGGGCTCAGGTCTAATTAATTTTAAAATAATGGGATGTGAATTTTTTTTTTTCCCCTCAAACACCATAGTTTGGAATCTCCACTACTCGTCTGTCAGGTTGTCATACTGTGGTGGCTTGTACATTACTGTAATGCTGGAAATTGAAATTGTGCCGCCAGCATTTCAAATAATAGCAGGGTCACCAATGGTGAACAGATAGCAGCAGATCTTCCAGAATAGAAAGAATAGGAAGAAGAAAGAGGCGGTCCACTTCTGAAAAAATTAGCAACTGAAAATCTCATGAATAGCAGTGAAACATTTCTGATATAGTGCTGAAAGATGTGTCAAAATATGACTGGGGAGGATCTGCCTCCTCAAGGTAGAGGTGATCTTAATGATATGGATGGAGTAAATCATTCAGGACCTTCATTTCAACATGTAAAAAAAAAAAGCTGGATATTATTATTTTTTTAAATGGATATTATTAATATCCATTAATAATTAGAATGTGCACTGAATCTAGAATAATTAGATGTTGTCAAAAATAAAATGCAAAAAGATGGATATCCTAGGCATTAGTGAGCTGACATGGACTGGTATTGGTCATTTTGAATCAGACAGTCATATGGTCTATTACACTTGGAATGACAAACTGAACGGGAATGTTTCACATTCATTGTCAAAAAGAATACTTCAGGATCTATCCTGAAGAACAGAGCTGTCAGTGATAGGATAATATCCATATACCTCCAAGGAAGACCCAGAAGGGACCACCCCCTGGAGAAGGGTATCATGATTGGTAAAGGAGAGGGTCAGTGAAGAAGGGGAAAACCCTCAATGAGATGGACCAACACGGTGGCTGCAGTGACGGGCTCAAGTATAGCAAGGATTGTGAGGATGGCACAGAACTAGGTGCTGTTTCATTGTGTTGTACATAGGGTTGCTATGAGTCAGAGCTGAATCGATGGAACCTAACAATAACAACAACAAGGAAGGCTAGTTATTATTACTATTATTCAAATTTATGCACCAGCCCTAAAGCCAAAGATGAAGAAATTGAAGAGTTTTATAAACTTCTATAGTCTGAAATTGATGAAACATGCAATCAAGATTTATTGATAATTACTGGTGATTGGAATGTGAAAGTTGGAAACAAAGAAGAGCATCGGTAGTTAGAAAATATGACATTAGTGATACAAATGATACTGGAGATTGTATGATAGAATTTTGCAAGACCAATGACTTATTCATTGCAAATACCTCTTTGCCAACAATATAAACTGCGACTAAACACATTGACCCTGCCAGATGGAATACACAGGAATCAAATTGACTATATCTGTGGAAAAAGACAACAGATCAGCTCATCATCATCAGTTAGAATAAGGCCAAGGGACAAGTGTGGAACAGACCGACTAGTGTTCATATGCAAGCTTAAATTGAAGCTGAAAAAAAAAATTAAAACAAGTCCATGAGAGTACGACCTGAGTATATCCCACCTGAGTTTAGAGACTACCTGAAAAACAGATATGAAGCACTGAACACCAATGATTGAAGACCAGATGAGTTGTGGGATGACATAAAAAATATCATACAAGAAGAAAGCAAAAGGTCATTAAAAAGACATAAAAGGAAGAAAACACCAAAATGGACGTCAGAAGAGACTCTGAAACTTGCTTGTGAACAGACAGTAGATAAAGCAAATGGAAGAAATGGAGTAAAATATCTGAACAGAAGATTTCAAAGTGCAGCTTGAGAAAACAAAGTAAAATATACAATGAAAAGTGCGAAGACCTGGAATTGGAAAATCAAAAGGGAAAAACAAGCTCTGCATTTCTTAAGTTAAAGGAACTAGAGAAAAAAATCAAGCTTTAACTTGCATATTGAAGGATTCTATGGGCAAAACACTAAATGATGCAGAAGCATCATAAAAAGAAAGGAATGCACAGAGTCACTGTACCCAAAAGCACCCAAAATGTTTAAACATTTCAGGAGGTAGCATACAATTAAGAACAGATAGTATTATGGGAAGAAGTCCAAAGTGCATTGATGGAATTGGTGAAAGACAGGGCTCCAGGAGTTGATAGAATACCCATTGAGATGTTTCAACAAATGGATACAATGCTGGAAGCACTCATTTGTTTATGTCAAGAAATCTGGAAAAGAGATTCTTGGCCAACTGACTGGAAGAGATCCATATTTGTTCCTATTCCAAAGAAAGGTGATCCAGCAGAATGCAGAAATTATCGAACAAAGTCATTAATGTCACACACAAGTAAAAGTTTGCTGAAAATAACTCAAAAAAGGTTCCAGCAGTACATCAACAAGGGAATAGGCAGAAATTCAAGCAGGATTCAGAAAAGACATGGAATGAAGGATATCATTGCTGATGAGAGATGGACCTTAGCTGAAAGCACAGAATACCAGAAAGATGCTTACCTGTGTGTTTAACTGACTATACAAAAGCATTCAACTGTGTAGATCATGACAAATTATGGATAAAAATGCAGAGAATTAGAATTCCAGAACACTTGATTGTGCTCACAAAGAACCTGAACATAGATCAAGAGGCAGGTGTTTGAATAGAACAAGGGGATACTGCATGTTTTTAAATCAGGAAAGGTGTACTTCAGAGCTGTATCCTTTCACCATACTTATTCAATTTGTACACTGAGAAAATAATCCAAGAAGCTGAAATATATGGAGAAGAATGAGCCATCATATTGGAAGAAAACTCATTAACAACCTGAGCTATACAGTTGACACAGCCTTGCCTACTGAAAGTAAAGAAGACTTAAAGTACTTACTGATGAAGATCGAAGTCTACAGCCTTCAGTATGGATTACACCTCAATGTAAAGAAAACAAAATTCCTCACAATTGGACCAATAAGCAACATCATGATAAATGGAGAAAAGATTGACGAAGTTAAGGATTTCATTTTACTTGGATCCACAATCAACTCTCATGGAAGCAGCAATCAAGAAATCAAACAATGTATTGCATTGGGCAAATCTGCTGCAAAAGGAACTCTAAAATATTCAATAGTAAAAATGTTACTTTGAGGACCAAGATGCTTCTGACCCTACCCATGGTATTTTCAATCACCTCATATGCATGTGAAAGCTGGACAATGAATAAGGAAGACTGTAGAAGAATTGCTGTATTTGCATTGCGGTGTTGGTGAAGAATATTGTATGTATCATGGACTGCTACAAGAATGGACAAATCTATCTTGGAGGAAGTACAGCTGGAATGCTTCTTAGAAGTAAGGATAGTGAGACTTCATCTCTCATATTTGGACATGTTATCAGGAGGGATCAGTACCTGGAGAAGGATATCATGTTTGGTAAAGTGGAGGGTCAGTGCAAAAGAGAAAGATCCTCAATGAGATGGATTGACACTAGATGGATTACAGCAATGGGCTCAATTACAGCAACAATGGGCTCACACATAGCAACAATTGTGAGGATGGTGCAGGACTGCTCTGTTGTACTTGGAGTCAGTATAAGTTGAAACCTACTTGACAGCGCCTAACAACAATAGTTTGGAACCTGGGTTTCTCGGAAAAGTGATAGGCACTTTATGTGTGCACTTAAAGAATCCAAAGCCAGATAATAAGCATCTTAGTTTTGGGGTTGAACTATAAGGTGTTCAGTTTTCAGGAAAACATTATATAATTTACTGTTACAGTGTATTGAGACCACTGTATTCATAATCACAAATGAAAACTTACTTATTTGTTAATGGAAAAACCGTAGATATTTATAGATTTTATTATGCAAACTGAATTCTAGTTTCTGTATAACTTCATAGAAATAGAATCTGCTATGTAAACAAACTGTCATTTAATCACATGATCATGGACTTATGCTGATTTTTCATGCTTTCTTTCTCCTTTCTCTTTCTCTCCCCTTCTTCCTCTCTTTCCATACGCACTTATGCAGACACACACACACACAACCTCCAAAACCCTAGGTACTAAATGAAATGCATATCTTCAAAAGACAGTTGGTTCACAAGATTAATATTTTCCAGTATTTAATAAATATTTATTATGCTACTAAATTAAAAAATATAATGATTTTATTGCTCTATTTTCATGAACTATTTCAGCTTGCCGATGAATAAGCCATTAGCAAAATGGAAAAAAAAAGTTTCAATCTGCTTTATATTTTAAAGGTTGGCAAACCTTTTCTGTGAAAGGCCAGATAATAAATATTCTGGGCTTTATAGTATACTTAACTCTGGCATTATAGTGCAAAAGCAGCCATAAAAAAAAACTGAAACTCAAACTCACTGCTGTCGAGTCAATGCCAACTCTGTCTAAAAGCAGCCATAGACAATACAAGTTGGGTGCTATGTCCCAATAAAAGTCTATTACAAAACAGGAAGCAGCCAGGTTTGGCCTGGTGGCTATAGTTGCTGACCAGATATAAAAACAGAGATCAGTTATAATAAAAAAGAATAACTAGATCACAGATATAAAATTATGCAAACACTGAAATTCAGTGAGGTGTAGACATAATATGATCTTTGTAAGGGGAACTAGCTATAAAATAGATGATGTCTGCTGGAGTTGATCCCTGTATTTCCACACAGCAAGCTCTGAATTAATATTAACTTAGTAGCAAGTTTATGGATAAAAATGTGTGCATCTCTCATCTGCAAAGGAAAATAAATCCATGAATGAGGCAATGTGAGGAAAGGATGTAAAATGACAGTCCTCCAAGGCAATCCAGACTTCACAATTGCCAAATACCTCAGGTAAAGTACACAGTTCATTCATAAATGAATTAAAGACACTCTTTAACTTTCTTTTACAATAAATTGAAATATCAAATAGCTTTACAAAGTTAAGACCACTGGGGTTCAACTGTTTGATGGGGTCTGGGAGTGCTGCCCTTACCTGATGGTTCTGTTGGAGTCCTCCTGGTCTTGGTCTGGATCCTGCATTTCCCCATTGTCATTTTGGCACTCTACCATTACCATCTCAGCATCGTGGACCATTGCCTCTTCCATGTCATCCATGAGCCCACTGTTCCTTTCACTGTCATTGTCATCACTTCCTTCTTCCATGACCACATCAGACTCTGCCCCAGCACCAAGCAAATCTAGAAAATTGTTTTGCACCATGAAGATAAGCCAGGATGCCTAGATCGAGGACTTAAAGGAAATCTAGGAAATCTTAAATCATTTAGAAGCCTTAAAAATGACATGTGAATTGAGGAAGAATTATCTTTTCTTTTTCGTTTTAGCTCATATATCTCTGAATTTGTAAGATGATGAGTAAACAATTTTACAGGCAGATACTTATTTTTGGTATCCCTAAGCCTAAGAATGGGAGCTCTGCTAGCATAGTGCCTAAGGCACTTGACTGCTAACCAGAAGGCTGATGGTACAAACCCACCAGCCACTCCTTGGAAGGAAGTTTGAGCAATCTACTTCCATAGTGATATTGCCTCGGAAACCCAAGAAGGGGTCGCTACGAGTCGGGTCCGACTCGATGGCACGTAACAATAACAAGCCTAAGGACATGAAAAGTAATGGAGATTCTTGGAAGGGAAAAGGTGATACACCTTATGCAAAAATATTCTGAATCATTGATTCTCACTGTTGCAGTTTTTTTTTTTTTTAAATCACTGAGTCCACTATATTTTATTGGTCAATAAGCAACAGCTTTTTAAACCCTAAGATATTATATAGTTGAAATAATATTGAATCTTGGGACTAGGCAGTTGATGGTAATGCAATATATTATGATTATGTAATAATGTAACATACTCTAAAATTAGAAAATTGATTGATTTTCAATTAATTCTGATTTACTAGACTACCAACATTGAAATATTCACATTTTCCCAAGCACTTTTTGACTGTATGAGAAAATGAAATTTCATAGTAATTAACACCACCAAAAACTGCACTTTTTCCCTGTGGTTCCTTTCCATGGGCTGAACAAAGTCAACATCACATGCCCCAGGAAGTGAGGAGATTGCCAAGCTTTCACTTTTGGCAGCAAATGCAGGAGTCTCTAAGACAGAAATTAGTGTTGCATGTTTTCCTGGAGAGCTCTCCCTTCTTCTTCCAGGTATGTATTTATTCTAGAGAAGAAAGTTCTAGAGCAAAGTTAAACATTTGTTCTTCAGCTTTTTAGGAACAAAAGTACTCAATTTGCTAATCTAGGTTCTATAACCATCTTTCTTCCCAGAAGAATCACAAAAAAACTGGTATCAGCCTGAAGACATAAACTAGTCCATTGTCTACAGGAAAAATTACTCTAGGATTCTAAGTCAAATGTTTCGGAATTGATCTATTAGGAAAACCACCTAGAAAGAATATGTGAGCAGCTCCTTTAGATTATAGCAGTTTTCTTAGGAATCCTTCAAAGTTAACTTCTGTAGTTAGGATTTTCCCAAAGAAAAATTCTCAGATGTAGGAAAGGATGACACAGTTATTAAATGCTCAGTTGCTAACCAAAAGAGCAATGGTTGAACCCACCAGTCACTCTGCAGGAAGAAGTTGTGGCAGTCTGCTTTGGTAAAGATTACAGCCTTGGGAACCCTATGGGGCAGTTCTACTCTGTTCTACTGGGTTATTGTGATATGGATTTAACTCTATGGTACATGACAACAACAACAATAGGAAAGGACATATATTATTTAATTGGATGAATTAAAGTTTCTTTTATTAATAAAGATGGTGGTTGACAATCAGATTATATAGTAGAAATAGTAACTGAGTGGAGGATGGAAATGAGTGACTACTTCCTTGGAGGACAGTCTCTGTGAACCTTTTCCTTCATTGGTTGATGGGGAGGAAAAGTTATCTTAGAATGAGGATAGAGGAAAGAGACTGAGAGGTATAATTTATGGGCATTCCAATCACTTTTGCATTTCCAAACAAAGCAGGACCACAAAATAAGAGAGCTGGGGAAGATATTCTGGACATTCAAGTTTTTAGTACTATCTGTTCATATAGTATAAAAGTCAAGAAAGTGTCTTTGGTTTTAAACAATGTTCAGTGAATTGGAATGAGTGCTTTTCTACAATAAAGTAGAACAGACTCAAACTATCATTTGCCTTAAGCTGGGTTACAAATAACAGAACAGAAAATGATAAAAGTAAAACAACCCACTGAGTCCTAAGGGTCACACTCTCTAACAGAGAAGGAGCAGAGACAGGACGTTGGATTTCCACCTACCTCCATTAATGGTCACTTCACCAAGGCAGTTGTTTGGTACTTTGGGTGCACAACGCTTGTGACAGTTGAATCTGCAATCTAACCATGATGATTTTAAAACAAAACAACAACTCATCAGAAAAAGAAGTTGTAAAACAAAACAAAACAAAACAAAACACTTGTAATTTCAGGTGGGTCAGTGACTAACTTAAGGGATCATAGTCTGGCTGGTAACAAACATTTGGTGGCAAGTTCATCCTTACCTTTGCACTGCAGGCCCTGCCTAAAAAGGCCCTTGAGAAGCTTCTTGCAGTACTGGCAGACAGTGGGCCGGGTGTAGGAGTGGATGACAAACGTGTGTGGTACTTTTACTTTAGACATCAAAATCTTGTCCAGCTGAATTGGTCGTCCAACGTAGGACTGAGAATTTGATCTCTTATCTCGGCCAATAAATGACTCTGATGGTGACTTTTGCTGTAAGTTTCAAAAATAATAAAGAATTATAGAATATAATAGTAATCAATTTTAATTTTTATTTTTAATCTCATTTTGTTTTACTATTACATTTAGTGTCTTGATTCTTAAGAACATGAGAAAAATAAACTAAAGCTATCTTTCTATTAACATTAATTTATACTCCCTTTATTTCTTAAGAAGCTTTGGTGATGCAGTGGTTAAGCTCTTGGCTGTGTTACACACTAGCTGCTCTGCAGGAGAAAGATGTTGCAGCCTTGGAAACCCTGTGAGGCAGTTCTATTCTGTCTCATAGCGTTGCTAAAAGTTGGAATCAACTCGATTTCAACAGGTTCTTATTTAAGTTACCTGGTCTTCACAGTCTGAAAGAAAGGGAGTTGGGGATCTGGATATACGAACCTAATTTCTAGTTCTTTAATATTATTTTGGCTTTTAAAAATTAATTTAATTAATCTTAATGAAGAAATATAAAGATTAAAGCAAACTAAGAAAAAAACAGTCTTTAATCCTCCTGCACATATTTTCTCACTGACATTTTTTAAAGTATTACATGTGCATGGTTAGAAAATGAAATTAGTTCAGAAAGAGAACTCTCTAGATAAAGTGCTCTAAGTGTCGGCAGTTAAATTTCTTTTTTTATCCAAAGGAGAAAAATATTATCTAAATCATTCCTCAACCCTATAGAAAAGAGTTAAAGTTATGATGTTTGTACTGAAAAACATGGTTACAAATAAACTATACAAGGAAGACAAATATTGGTGTTATGGTTATATTAATATCACTGTGCACTCTTGCTTCTCAATTTGGAATTATTAATTAGTCCAGTACATAGATTTTTAAAAAACTAAGTGAATTATAATTAACCATGTTTAAAATTCTTCAGACAATTTCATGGTATCCCTGGACACCATGGAAATGCACTTGGGTTTCATCCGAATAAATGTATTTGGGAACGATAAGAATAAATATGTATGGAGTGCTATATTAATGCTATATTAAGCTCCTTAATTATTTCTTAAACTCTTATAGTGTAGTAACCACTGTGTTAGGTACCTTACGAGACAGGTCTTGTCACCCACATTTTATGGTTGGGGACTCTAAGCCATAAAGTTTAAAGAAAATTGTTTGGGTTAAATGGCTACTAAATACCCACGCCGAGTTGATGTTGAGTTGAATCCAGTGAGAGAAACCCTACAGGACAGAGTAAAACTTCCCCATAGTTTCCAAGGCTGTAAATCTTTATGGAAGCAGAGTGTCACATCTTTCTTCTGCAGAGCAGGTGGTGGGTTTGAACTGACATGTGTAGCCAAAACTTGAACCTACATGTGTTTGCTTCCAGAGCCCTTGATGTTGGTGTTGACTGCATCATTTTGCCTTTTTGTATATAATTAGTAGAAAGTAACAGAACAAACAAACATTAAAGCACCTATATTCAGCTATATAATCTGATTCCTTCTTGCACTTCTGAGTCTGCTCTATAGTACTGTAAATGGTCTGACATAAAACTGACTTTCCTAATAAAATTACAATTAACTATCTTAAATGAAGGAAAATAACTGAGGAGTGATCTGGCTTTTTCCCATCTTGTCAATATGTATTACAACTTTTTCCTGTTTGTTTCTAATTTAGACAAGTTACTGACAAGTTAGGAGCTCTGGTAGCACAGTGCCTAAGGCACTTGACTGCTAACCAGAAGGCTGGTGGTTCAAACCCACCAGCCACTCCTCGGAAGGAAGGTTGGGCAATCCTACTTCCGTAGTGATACCGCCTCGGAAACCCAAGGAGGGGTCGCTATGAGTCGGGGCCGACTCGACGGCATATAACAACAACAACAACAACTGACAAGTTGAGAAATAAATCAGAATTACATACAATTTCTTCCCATCTCAGATTCTATCTACCCGCAAAGGTAATAATGTATATTACCAAATTGAGAAATTTTTATTTGAAGATTCACTGGGTAAAGTAAAAAGAAATTTGAGATGAGGCTCTACATAAGGACATTATATCTACAGTTACATTTACAGTTTTATAAAGAAAACTATAAAGGATATTACTGTGGAAAGGCTTCTAAGCCCAGGGTGCTTATAAAGATAAGCTACAAGTTTGCCAAACCAGAATCATGAATATGTTGAATAAACGTCTTCAACGGAATTGAAGAATAATTAAATCCAAAGGGTTAGACCCTTGTTCCATATGCCTCTCTTTAGTAACTATAACCAAACGGCTAGTTTTAAGCACAGACTAAAATGAAACTAATATTTTTTTTTCCATAGGTGGAAAGTTTCAATACTCAGAATGAAAGGGGACCTGATGTCATACTTTTGTTGCAGACTTAAAATTTTCTCAGATTTGGAAAATCCCATGAAAAGCTGGACTTTAATCATTTTCCTTAATTTAAGATACCTAATTCTAGACTGGAGCTCTGGTGGCATAGTGCATAAGGCATTTGACTACTTACCAGAAGGCTGGTGGTTCAAATCTACCAGCCACTCCGCAGAAGGAAGACTGGGTAATCCAGTTCCGTAAAAATTTACTACCTCAGAAACTGAAAGGGAGTTGCTATCAGTTGGAATTGACTCAATGGCAGTGAGTTTGGTTAGTTTGGTTTTAATTCTAGGCTAAGAAGAACTAGTGGTACAGTGGTTAAAGCATTTGGCTGCTAACCAAAAGGCCAGCAGTTTGACCTCCCAACTCTCAGTGGGAGATTGATGTGGCAGTCTACTTCTGAAAAGATTACAGCCTTGGAAACCTTATGGAGCAGTTCTGTTCTGTGCTATCGGGTCACCATGAGTCAGAATCAACTGGAACACAACAGGATTTTAATTCTAGACTGTGTTAGCCGTCAGTTTGACATTGGGCCATTTAGTATACCACAAGGCAGACTGAAAAGTGTAACAGAGACTCTGATAGACTGAATGCTTTCTTGTCATCCAACACGACAACATTAATATAAACACTGCCATAAACTAAAAGAATTAGAATCATTCCCGAGAAGTCCTTTTATTTATCCCCTTCTGGGTAGGAGTACATGAGGAATTTAAAAATATTACATGGGTTTAAAATAACTGGCTATCATTCTATAGCCTAGAGCTTATACCTCAGTCACTTCTAGGCAATGATGAAATTCAAACAACCGTATGTGACCTTGATACAGAATAATGACTTACAAACTACATAACATATATTGTCAAAAACTACACATTTTCAAAAGCAAAATCAGCTGGAAATAAAACTACAAAAATTTATCATTATCTTTTCTAATACTCTCAAATAAAACTAATTGTTTTCAATGTGGCATGTAGTTCTAAAATGAAAAAGTAAAGCTTTAAAATCTTGAGATAGGGTGAATATGTATGAAGACTTCTCTAGCAGGAACTTACTTACTGCTGTAAAGGAGGTTCCTTGAGTTGTTTAACTGTAGTAGATAACAAACACCTTGGGGAAGGGAGAATGTAGGTAAACTTTTGCTTCTAGGATAATTTTCTATGTCTCTGGGAGTATCTATACAGGTCCCTGGGTAGCACAAGTGCTTTGTTCTCAACTACTAACATAAAGGATGGTGGTTCCAACCCACCCAGTAGCACTACAAAAGAAAGGACTGGCGATCAGCCTCTATAAAAACTACAGCCTAGAAAACTCTGTGGAACAGTTCTAGTCTGCAACACAAGGAGTCATCATGAGTCAGAATGAACACAACAGCAACAGCAGTACACATACATACATTTGTATAAAATAAATCTAAAAAGCCAAGACAAAAAAAGGAAGACTAGGCCATCATTTGATAACTTTGCAATTGTGTATGTGGTATCTGTGCATTCTTCATTAAAATGTAAAAAAAAAAAAAAAAAAACTTTATTGATAAAAAACAAGGGAAAGACAGAATAAGAGCCAATGGAACAAGACCATTACCCTGTAAGAATGTATTTATTATTTATGTAAATTTTTAGAACCACCATTTCTGTAATCTACCCAATCATTACTCTATTTCTAATGACGTATGCAAAAACTAAAAATTTCTAAGAGTTCCAAATCAGTAATACATTTGTTAATTAATAATCAATACTTAGTTAATTTTAAGCAAAAGAAGTTTTGTCAATTATTATATGAAGTGTCATTTGAAGGTGTATACACCATAAGGCTTAATTACATTTTTTGTTTGTTTGATACATCAAGCTCAGAGTAGGCAAAATTCAAAAATTGAAAATTTTGAAGGAAATAGACGTTTAAAAAGCCTCACTCTCAAATCCAATTACTTTGCATTTTAAGATAACCTCAACATGAAGCTTGGTTTTGTTGTGTGCCGTTGAGTCTATTCCTACTTATGCTGTTGTTGTGGCTAGGTGCCATAGAGTCGTCTTGGACTCAGCAACCCAACAAACGGCAGAATGAAGCAGTCTGGTTCTGTGTCAGCCTCACAATCCTTGTTATACCTGAGCTCATCATTACAGCCACTGTGTCAATCCATCTCATTGAGGGCCTTTTTCCCCTTTTTTGTTGACTCTCCACCTTTATCAAGCATGATATTGTTCTCCAGGGAATGGTTCCTTCTGACAACATGACCAAAGTAGGTGAGATGAAGTCTGGCCATTCTTGCTTCCAAGGAGCATCCTGGCTCCATTTTTTCCAGGATAGATTTGTTAGTCCTTTTAGCAGTCAATGGTACTCTTTTCCAACACTGCAACTCAAAAGCACCAGCTCTTCTTTGGTCTTCCTTACTCATTGTCCAGCTCTCACATGTGAAAGAGCCAACTGAAAATACAGCTTGGATTAGGCGCACCTTAAGTCTTCAAGGAGATATCTTTGCTCTTCAGCACTTGAAAGAGGTCTTTTGTAACAGATTTGCCCAATACAATACATCATCTGATGTCTTGAGTGCTGTTTGTATTGGTGTTGATTGTAGAACCAAGTAATATGAAGTTCAATCTTTTCTCCATCCATCATGAAACTGTTTATTGTACCAGTTGTGAGGATTTTTGTTTTCTGTATATTGAGGTGTA